AGTGTTGCACTTCGTTCAAATCAAAAGTTCACTGCAGCCTTTCAGGTCTGACCTTTTCAGTACGCAGTAATGCACTTAATGAGCTTTAAGCATGGTTAAAAAAAACAGGATGTAAATAATTATCTGTGTAAATTAGGAAAGCATTTTTTCAACAAAATTTAAGCAACAGCGAAGCTTTTTAATAAGTTTGGAGTTAAAAGTTGTGTACTGATGGATAATGTTTTATAAACTTATTTCATAATTCTATCAACAATTATTATATTCTTTTTGAACAATCCTTAAATAGTGTGTAACTTATACTGGCCACAACAACCTACTACAATTTTGTCTGCCATATGACAATGGAAATGGAATGAAAGGCAGGAGAAATAAACATTTTATTGAACGAGTGTAAAACTTAAAAGTTGCCATTGTGTAGCAATTATAATTGGCAGATGGCAACTGTATATACTTTGCACCGATATACATATATATGTATATATAAAGTTCCTTTTCTGTATTTCGTGTGTTAATGCAGAGAATATATATAAAATATATACTCGTACTGCTTGCATTTAAAATCTATTATAAAGCAAAAAAATCATGTAGAAACAGAAAACTTAAATACTTGGCATAGCAAATACTTTGTTGCAGCGCTTGTTGTTGTTATTATTGTCAGGAAGCACTCGGAAGTGCGAGCAAATGTGTCTCCCCCTTCACTTTGATAGAAGTGCGTGTGTGTTGCATGTTGTTGTTCCTGTTATTTTGCATTATGTTGCATTTGCAATGCAAATGCTTTTGTGCTTTTTCTTGATGTCGTTGTCAACGACAACGACGACAACGACGACAACAACAAAAAATGCATCAGCATAAGCCTTGTGGTTCTCATCGTTGTTGTTGCTTTTGAATAGCTTTTTATTTCTTTATTGCGGCTTCCATAGTGCGTTTGTTGGTGTGTGCGTGAGTATGTGTGGAGCTTGCATTTGCTTTTTGCTGTTTGTATTTCTAATAAAAATTTTACATCATTTTATGCATCGATGCGCAACACTAGGCACACATTTGCACACATATAGATACAATATACAAGATACATAGATAGATGATATAGACTATAGAACCGAATCTTGAGATGGAAACGTGCTTTATATAAATGTGATTGTGCACACTTTAGAATTTTTTAAAGAGTACCTGAAAGACAAATTGACTATGTCTGTTGTTATATCTACTTGTCGCTAGAGGGCGTCGTTCTGTTGCTTATGTTTTGTTTTGGGTTGGGCTCATTTTTATGACAAAGCAACTGAAAGATAAACACGCAACGCAACGCAACGCAACGAAAACAACAACATCTGTAAAATAGTTGCCAATGTTGTTGTTTCGTTGACGTTGACGTTGTCGCTGCCGTTGCCGTTGCCGTTGCATTCCATTAACATTACAAATGTATTCATTGTTTGCATCTGCAGCAACAACAAATACAACAATGATGCTATTTTACGCCGCATTATGCGAAAATGTGGCAAGTGATAGAAAGGATAATGCCCGCTCTATGCCGGGGACGACACACGTTCACGCAACAACAACAAGAGCAACAACAATAGCAACAACTGCAACAAGAACAACAATGAAGCGACGCACAACAGCATGCAAAACTATTTTTTTTTCCTTATGCACAAGTGGCTTTATTATTTGTTTTTGCACACATCGCTAATATGCCAGCGTGTGTGCGTGTGAGTGTGGGTGTGTGAGTATGTCGCTATATCGACGCTGACATTTTGTCTAGCTGGAGCAAAAGTTCAGAGTGCTTAGCCGTGGTTTTAATACCCTTACAAGGTTTTAGTTTTAATTCCGTATGGGATAGAAAATCAATTGAATAATATTCCCTATTTTATAAAATTAATATAAACTCTATCTAGCAGCTTAAGTTTCTGAAGAAGAAGAACTGTTCTGGTCCAGCAACCATTACAGACAATGGCAAATAATTGAAAATTTTTGATTCTTAAAGTTAAAATATAATATTCGTATATGCACTGTTATGAGATATTCTGTGCCAAGGTGTGAATTTGCTTAGCAAAAATTCTTATTCATATAAAAATATCAATGTGTTTTTGCACTTACCCCAAACATTTACATTTCCGTTTAACATACACAGAGTAAAATTGAATTATGGGTTGAACTAAAAGAAAAAAAGGAGAGAATTAGGTATTTATAGTAACAGTAGAATAGGGAAAGATTAATGGATAGTGAGAGAGAGAGAGAGAGAGAGAGAGAGTGAGAGACAGAAAGAGAGAGAGAAAGAATGAGTTGCATTTCTATTCGGCAGCTCAATGCTTGCCTATCTAATCCTATCAAGACCATGAACAATTGATTGGACTCCTTCGCATAGATAGAGTATAAACAGTAGCGACGATGGCAAAATCACAGCATGTCAAATTGTTTTCCTATTATTGTTGCCATTGTTGTCGCTGCCATCATGTGTGTTGGTGTTTTCGCTGGTGTTGTTGTTGTAGCTGTTGCTATTGTTGTTGGGCTTATCGTTATTTAAATTAGCATTACAATGCATTCACACACAAATTCATGCGCAGGCAACGCATGTCTGCCATATTGTTTTGGAAGGAAAGTTGCAGTTGTTTTTGTTTTATTTTGTCTTTTTTTTTGTTTTTTTCAATTTTTAAAGCCATCAACAAAGTGGGTTACGTTTTTCTGTTCATTTTTCCCCTTTTGTGTGCATTTGTCGCAACATTTATTAAATTTTTAATTAAATACGAGTTGCCGTTCAGTCGATTGACAAACAGGCATCTGAACTGACTCTGTGAAGCATACACATGGCGTATGTGTGATTTATTTTGAGCTCGCTTTTATTTATACTACTTGCTTTGCTTTGTTCTGCTCTTCACACAAACATACTACCCCAGCAAAAGCCTTGTTCGAGCCAATTTTAAATATTCAACTGAACTAGAATAGATAACAAAAAGTACAAGCTAAATGACGCAATGCAAATCCTAAGAGGTAAAGAAATTTTTTTTTTTAATTTTTCATGGAAATCTTATCATTTGCAGCAGCTGAACAAAGAAGTGTTTTTTATTTAAACAGTTAATTATTCATTTAGCTTAGCTAGAGTATGGTATTATGTCTTAAGTAGCAAAGAGTAACTGAGTAACAAGAAGATAATATGAATTGTAACAACTTGAACGGTTTAGAATAGGGCAGCTGCCTTCGAAGAAGTCTTTAGGACTTAAATTTAATGCCGGACAAGAATAGTTATAGTAATAAACTATTATTTTCGGAACTGAACTAAATATGAATAAATACCTTGTCTGATGAATTTAAATCAGATTATTAATTGTAATTTATTATTTAATGCATAAGCAAAAAAATGTATATACTCTGTGTTAAAATGCGATGTACAATAAAAGTTTGCCTCCAAAGTGCATACAAAATATTGGGAAAAATTGTAAGACACTCTGTCACGGTATTGGCAGCTGATAAACACTTCAGGCGCACAGACATTTATAAATTTCACACTACAATGCCAAACAAATTGGACACAAATTGGCAATGAGCAAAAATGGTGTCTAAAATACAATACGTATTTGGTATTAAGAGTCTGCAGCTTTTATATTTTTATTGGGCAAATTTCTTATTTCGGCTAAGAAAAGCGATACGCTCGAATGGGAAGCAAAAATCCATTTTGATGTTATGCAATCGTGCGTGGCTGAGGCGAATGGATGAGATGAACTTTGCGTACACACAAACACACACACACACACACATACAGATACAGAGATACAGGAACGCGTACATTATTCATGTTTTGGCCATGGCTTGTACCTTGCTCGCTGTGCAGACAGGTGTGCAAAATATCTGGCAAATATTTTACAGCTGTCACCTTTTTGTGCATGTAATTTTGTATTTATTTGTTTGCTTTTGGCAAATCACAAGAGCACACACATAGACAGTCAGTCCGACGGAGAGATTGCGTACGAGAGTACGACAAATAGAGAGAGAGAGAGAGAGAGCGCAGATGTTTGGCATTTAAAGTATTTTTTCAAGCTTTATTGCAGCCTTCTGCAATTATTAGTTGACTTTGACATTACATCAACAATCTACACATTAAATTGCCTCACATTCGATGACGAGTTTTTTCTTATCAACAGCCTCAACAACATGCGATTATATAACACACATTTTTGGTCTATTTAAATAAGAATCCAAATTTTGGGCACAGCTTATCACATCCCGAAAAGCCGTTGGATTTCTTTTAGGTTCTGCCTAGGGTTATCAAAAATGTCAAAAGGAACAGACCTCAATTAATTTGAGTCAATCCAACATAAAGCTGTACAAAGTCTTAGGAGTAATAAAGAGATTTTTACAGTGAAACCTTGATTATGCGTTCCTTAGGAGAGTTTTCACTGTATTTTACATTTATATCTTAATGCTTAGAAACTAACTGGGCCTGCGACTGAGACAATCAATTGTATATTAATTCCGGCAATTCGTGCACGGAATTAAAATATTTTTGAAATTATATGATATATATATATTAAGTGTATGCATGTATATATGTAAAATTAATAGCAACTTATAATATTAAACTAAACTCAGAACCAGTGTTTTGATGAGAATATTTTCAAAATACCTGCCCATCTAACTTAAGCTTGCTCTTAACAAACCACTTTTTTACCACTTGTTAACTAAAACTGAATTCAATATCCCCTTATATTTACATTTAGCTAAAGCCTAAGGACTGTTGCGGCTCTAAATGCAAAGTTTATTGTCGCCAAAATAGTTGTTGTTAAAAATGTCTTATTAGTACAGAGCAACGATCTAGGGTGGCTTTGTGCTTTTGGCATTTAAACTAGGCATTTGAGAGCCCCTCAAGGCCGACAAAAGTAAAATAACACTTGATACAAACAGGCATGAGAATAGTCAAATTAGAATAAGCTAAACTGCAGCAGGTAACTTTTAAAGGAGCAGAAAATTCCAATTGAATCGAAACATCACACAAACTCAAATTTATTGCCAACATGCCCAACATTGAAGATGAGGTGCCAAGGCCCTGTAAGCGCCAGCGACTAGACGTCGATTCAGAGCCGGGTGGTTCGGCTGACCCAGAACAGCCAAGTGGTTCCGGTACGGATGCGGCGCGCACCGAACCGGAGCTGAGCGAGCGTCTGCGCAAGGTAATGCTGTGCACCGTTTGTCTGGAGCTGCCGCACCCGGATGATAGCTATCAGTGCAGCTTGGGACACATCGTATGCGAGGATTGCGTCACACGTCTACTGGCTGAAGCGGCGCTTAACAATCGTGAGGCGCAATGCCCACACTGCCGCACACACATCAGCTGGCAGGAGCTAACCAAGAATCTGGCCGTGGGGCAAACTCTCTGGGAGCTGCCGAAGAGCTGTTCCGACTGTGAACAACAAATGGAATACAAGTGCATGGCCAAGCATCTGAAAACCGAGTGTGCCAAGCGCTTGGTGCATTGCCAGTACCGCTGCCTGGGCTGCACCTGGCAGGGCTGCCAGGAGGACAGTAGGCAGCATGAGGCCAGCTGCCCCAATCTGCAAATGTCTAGCGATGAGATTATACACGAGCTGGCCACGATCGATAGACTGGAGCAGATGGCCGCCCAACCACTGCGGCAGTGCCACCGACAACTGAGTGCCCCAAGGATTTCCTACGAGGACTTGGATCTGCGTTGGCCGCAGCACAGTTCGCGTCTAAATGGCGAGCTTCGCTTTCAGTCCCCCACAATCTTTGTGTTTGAGGAATCATGGCGCCTGCGCGTGAAGCTCGTGCTCGGCACTGGCACAGAGCGCCGCCTTAGCTACAGTCTTAAGATATTGTCATCCCCGCAGGAGGTATTGCTGGTGAAATACTTTGCCACATTGCCGGCCATACACGTGCGTGCCAAGCAGTTAATGGATGTGGAGCCTCAGCTAAACGAGTCGTTTTTCAATCTTGCCGGCCAGAGCTCTGAGTTCAAGCTGCTGCCCATGAGCTGCCAAATAGCCACCTATCGTTTGCTGGCCATGCCACGTATCAAACTGCGGCTCTGGATGATGTTGAACTAATTGGAAATGAGGAGTGGTTGAATTGTTTTGCAAGATCTTAAACATTTATTAGCATCGTTCTTTGTTTATTTTGTGCACTGTGTGCCTATTTTGGTGCTGCCTTCTGCTGCTTCTCCGCAATTTCGACCAAATTCTTCAGCCATTCAGTGGCAACAGCGGACACCTTATCGCCGAACTGTTCAGTTTCCTTCTTGAACTCGTCCACCTGCTGGTTCAATTTCTGTTGGCGAAACGGCAGCATTGTGGCGTTATTACGAAATATGATTACAACCAACAATCCACCAGCTGGCATTACTTACATCAAGATTTTCCTTGCTGAAAGCCTCCTGCACTTTTTTGACCAAAGGCTGCAGAGCTTCTGGCAGAGCGGTTGGAGCTTCGGGCGCATCGCGCGCCACACGAACTGCTCCGTTGCAGACCTACATTGGGCATAAACACCATATCACATATATATCACACACATGACCACAATTGGACTTACGGCAACCAGCGCAACAAGAAGGAAAAGCACAGCGATTTTGGCCATTATTATTTTTTTATAAGGATTAGCAGCTCTGCACAGTTGAACACGGAGTTGAGTACTGATTGAAACGCTCGCGATTAACTCGCAAAGATACCTCGTTTTGCGTCTTTTGGTATTTTTTTTGGACAGCAGCAGCGCAAGCTTATCAGCAGCGTCGGGCCATGTGCCATGAGGCTGGGCTACATACAGTACAGTCGGGGTCACACAATTGGAGATACCCAGCTTGTGCTTTGATTGGCGAAGGCTGTTCGTTGGACCAGACCTTTAGCTCATGGCATTTGGTAAAATTATATTTTCATAAAGTCAAAAAAAAATCGATTCTATTTCCATTCTAAATGTTTCAAGTTTAGAATCATTAAAAATAAAAATAGGTGCAAAATTTTCAAAAAGAGAATTTTCAAAATAGACAACAGCTGATATATCAATATCATATCAATAATGGGTTGAAGCAATAGATTGAAAACTAACTCTTCTCATATTGAAAAGCATTCTCTTTGAGAGACTCGAGATGTGGTTAGTCGTGCGCATATGATAAATATTTAATTATTTAAATATTTGACTGCCATTTTGCAGATCTTAATATCGCACCTCTATCCATACATTAATATATGTGCTGCTAGTAAGAAACGTAGGCAACATATTAATTATGTTTTGTACATATTTGGCTGCCCGTGACTGTATGCTAGATCGTATGTGGTACTTCCCATTTCGTACGTACTACAACGTATCAAAGATATGTGCATATGCTTAACATATATATTTTTTAGTTTTTAATTATTTATTGTAAATATATACATTAAGAAACAATCTTTTATCAAATACATATGCCTATTTTTCGACAGGCTTCTTCAGGTCTGCTGTGATATCCCCCACAAACTGTTGGCCATTCTTTAAGGCGGAATCGGCAAACTGCTTCAACTTCTCCTTATCCACATGTTGTTCCAGAAAAGCGTTGACATCAGTCATAATTTTCTTAAGTTGGGCGGCTAGAGGTTCCAGTGGATTGTCTTGATTCTGAACCTCTTCGGCGCAGCAGAACTACATATTGATACCAGACAACAATGCATCTTAGTGTTTGGCTTACTAAGCTTTTTTTAAATCAACTTACGACAAAAAGTGCGAACAGCAGAAACAACACAGTGATCTTTGCCATTTTGTATATTTTTTCTTGCTGATTAATAGTCTTAATGTAGCTCTAAGCAGTTAAACACCAAACTTAGTACTGATTAAACCGCTCTCCAGCAATCCAAAATTATGCCTAGCTCAATGATTTTTTTTCTCGCGCCGAGCAGCACATGCTTTTATCAGCTCTTAGCGCTCAGGGTCAAATATGCTCATGATCACAGCATTAAATGTATAAATAGTGGAATGGAATGTGGGTTTTATTCTCCTTTTTTTATAAAAGTGTGGCGAAACTATGGCTATATCGTGGATTCTTTTAGTCTGCTGACTTTATAAATATATCCGGTCCATATACTTGCCGTCTATATACAAATTTTCAATTCACTATTAAATTCGAAAGAATTTCGTATGTTTATGGAAATAGTTATAATCAGTTTTAGCTGCACATGCTGAGTTTCAATTTGTTGTTTCCAGTGGTTATTTTTTTTCTTGTATTTATTTAGTTTGTTGAAGGCCAGCCTTGAGCTATGCTTTTCAACAGTAGAGAAATTGAGTCACAAAAAATATAGTGTGTATATTTGTTAGAAAATTATTTTATTTAAATGCAATTTTTATTCTTTCTTTTCATTCAAATTCTGAATGCTCGCTTGCGTATCAGCTAGGAATTTCTTGCCATTCTCGGCAAACTTATCGACGAACTCCTTAAGCTTGTCCTCATCGACATGTGTGCCAATGTACTCCTTGACTTCCTTCAGACGGGCCTCAATGGTGGCCTGAAGCTCGTCCAGTGTAGAGGTTTCCTTCTTGACCTCTTCGGTCATGCACAGCTATAAGTTTAGTTACAAAATCTAACATTTATTCACAATTGATGGACATCCTTTCCGAACTTACTGCAACAAATGCGCACAGCAGGAAAATCAACACAAATTTGCCCATTTCAAAAGGATGTTTTCAGTAGATCTATACGAATGCACTGGCTGTCAAGAACTAAGCGCACTGCAGCGGCTGCAATGCTTTTAAATGTGCAACGATCAGCGGCGATTGCAATTATCAGGAAATATGAAGCTCAGCTTGCATATTTTTCAATTGCAAATTGTTCGCATTATTTATTTTGTAATAATCTCATCCATAGGTTAAGTCTAAATCAGACTGTAAGCATTTAAAAGGGGTCATAATTTATTAATTGAAAGTTTAACATAAGGACACCCCTTTGTGAATATTTATACACGGCCTACAGGAGCGTATTCCCAAAACCAAAATGTTGCAAAAATGTATTCTTAAAGTAATTCTTGAATTCTCGATTTAAAGTATCTAAGCTGTTCTTGCATTGAAAGCAGAGTATTAAGCAGTCGGCAATATGAACTTTGCTTATAGAAGGCTACGTCAACGAACGACACGTGTAGCATAGGAGTTCTTAGTTGACTTATGTATGTTTCTGATAAGGTGTTCTATATTTTTAAATATGCATAGTTTATTATAAACTCAATGCAATAATACAATTATTATGTATTCACATTATGTGGAAATTAAAATTATTTAAACACGTGAAGCACTTACGGCAAACATTTCTACAACATTTTGCAACTTTGTGCATTTCCTGCTTCTCAATATTTGGGTTCAATCATAATATTTGATAACGTTGAAGTATATTGTTAATACACTTTAAAATATTGAGAGTAAAGAAATTATAAGTGGGAGCAAAAAAAAAATGCTACAATATTGAATATTATATGCAAAATCATTTAAGTTATGATAAACATTTATTCGCCCAACATTAAGATATCATAAAGGGCATTCAAGTAGAGCAAGCTGCTGATTTAAGAACTTCAAATTCCGAAGATTCATTGCTATAAGTATACAAAAGATTAGTTCTTGCCTAATCATCGCTTAGGTTAGCTACCGGGGGCAAGGTTGCCACACCCTAACCAAGGCTAGTCTGGTTTTGTCGCAAAACAAGTTGCGGATGTTGGTGGATTTGCGACACAGACTATTTTACTTCTGAATAGGTACTATATATTTGAAAAGCGTGCTGATATAACTAGCTATAAATCAGAACATTTGCTTAACAATTTATACGATAGAGCGGTTATGGGATCAATTTGATTGATGTGCTTGCCAGGGTATTAGGTCTTCGTCACTTTGAGCGTGTTGTTAAACCTAATCATTTTCGCGATTAGCATTTCAAATTGACACACAAAAAGTACAGTTTGGCACTTTGAGCTGGCATTTACACTTACTTTATTTCAACAAATACTTATATAAATAAATATTGATAAGCGGCGATTACATGACATGGTCATCATCAAAGCTGACATCGCCGTCTGACTCTGCACTTAACAGCATGCGTATTTTACATTTTGTAAATATTTAAATGACATTTTCAGTTGGCGGGCTGCAAACAGTTGCCCCGATCTTAATGCAATGCATTTTTGCCACATCGACAACTGTCTGCATATTGTTTGCACTAAGTAAACAATATAATTGTTTATTGTAATATCGGCCTTTTAAGCTATTTGCGCGAATTGTTATTTATGTGTCTGGTAGTTAAAAATATAGTAAGAGAATTTGTTTTATGTTTTCATATTCATATTGATTGTGGTGTTATGAGTATAGGATACAAGAATAAAATTAATATTATAACTAACCAAATCTCGTATATATCTATTATTAATATATACAATTATTATATATATAAATAATAAATATATACTTAATTTAATTATTATGAGAATTAATTTTATTTATGTTATTTATAAGGAATTGATTGATTATAATTAAATAGATATGAATATATATGTATATATAGGCGAATCAATGATAGAATAAGCTCTGTGTGCGACCAGCTTAGCATTACCATAGCCAGAAATTAAAGCACATGGCACGGGTACAAGAATGCCATTAATATGCAGGAATATTCATATATGCAAGTAGAATGTATAGGAAAATAGCACTTCATAAGCCATCAAAAGCCTGTCCAGACAGCATCTGTTTTTGTTGCTTTTTGACGCTTAGTTTCAAGTACAATCCATTAAAACAATTTAATGTAAAATTGCGTGCCTGAAAATACGCGGGGGCAGCGGCGGCATCCGGCTGCTCACTTATTGGCCTCATCTCGGTTTAGCTTTGGCCCTGGGTATGGGTCTGGCTGTGTCTGGGTAGCTGTTGATGTTCAGCTGTGAAAATTTGGACTGAAAAGTTTATTTTCCACTTGAGAGCAACAAGCAGCGAAATTAGCAGCGAATCTAACAGACAGACGTTGACTTTATGCCTTGCTAGTCATTTGCCCAGACACAAACAAATAAAATTAAGTGGCGACAGAGCCAGAACCGCAGTCAGTGCAAGAACCCAAAATATA